AATGTTTTTTGCAAAATAAACGTTTTCTTTTTATTTTTTAAAGACTTTTCCTCCAAAACCATTTTTCCCAAAGTTTTTCTTTGAAGTTCTCCTCATATGCATCAAGGGACGGTAAAAATATGGTGTTATTCCCAATTTCGAGATATTTTCGAAAGTTGTAAAAGTTAATATTTCAAGGCCAAAAAATTGAGAATAAACAGTTTTGCCTACGATAAAGTCTGTAGTAGAAAACTAGCACATTTAAAAGATCGTGAGCAACATTCATAAAAAATGTGTAGCTTTCGTATAATTGGTGCTTGAATTTTATGTAATTTCTAAAAGAAAATTCTCAAAAACTGCTCCAATTTTTTCTTCAAATTTTTTCCACGGACAGAAGAGACGCTTAAAAGACATTTTAATTGAACTCTCCGCATTTTCGGAAAATGCAAAATTTTAATATGTAAAAATTACAAAATTAAGGGTGAAGATTTTTAATGTAAACAAAATATGTTCTAAAATCAGCTCATCAATAAAGTTTATTTACAATTTTTATAAAAGGCTAATAATTTCGCGTAAATTCAGCTTGAAATTAATGAAATACAGTGGGACGTCAATTATCCAAACGTCATCATCGGAAACGTCAAATATCCCAACTCAAATTTTCTCGGAACAATTTTTGTTTGAAAATTAGGTATCGTATACTATACGTATTATTTTTCTTTTCTAATACTGAATATTAAGAATGATCCCCGATATGATTAGCAGTGATAAAATATTAACGAGATTCTGTGCTCCAGTCAATCATCTGACTTCAGATTCAACTTCGACAAGTCCGACAATAAATAACGCATACAACTCGGAATGTTTATTATTAGCAAAAAAACACTTTTCACCACCATTACACTACCGCAAGAGAACTATCGGTAAATTGTGAAACAACCCGTCGTAAATGCTTAACAGTAGCACTCATTCGGAATGTTCATTGTTGGCAGAAAACAACAATGTTCATTGCCCTTTAGTGCAACAGTAGACTGCAACCCTGCATAGACAAGCAGTATTTCACTAAATAACCACGAACTGTTTCATTTTAAGTTTAAAGAAATTTGTTCAAGCGGTGGGTTCTCTTGTGATTGGATTGTGTTTTGCGATCTTAGTGTACACACTATTGGTATGGCATCTTCTAATATACAACGAAAACATAATGGGTTGACAATAGAAACAAAATTAAAAATATTAAATAGTTTAGAAAAGGGAGAAAGCATTTTATGTACACTTGCAATTTTTAATGTTCGGTTATCCGAATGATCAAGTATCCGAACTATACCTGGTCCCAATAAGATTGAATAATCGACGTCTCATTGTATTTCATTAATTCCAAGCAGAAATTACGTTCCCGGATAGTAATCGAAATTTTCTTGTGGAACATCTATGGGCCACAAGAAAAGTTCTCAGACAACAGGAATGAATCAAAAGAATACGAAAAATAATCGTTATTTTAAATATAATTTTCTATTCAAATTCCTAATATTTATTCGATTTTATTCTTTTCTACAATTAACATTTTCAATGTATTTATGTACTTTATTTCAAACAATACACAAATGTACACAGATGTGCATAAGATGGACATTACGAAATGATACCAAAGTTTCGTGTGCATTCATAAGGCGATACATTGGATGGCCTTTAGTTCTGGACGTTCAATTTATATTATGAAATCATCCTTGCTTGTTTCTTCAATGTTTTTTTTTACGGATAAAATTACTGCTTGCTATACCATGTAGGTCAGTTAGAATGATAGTCTACCGATACATTTTTGCGAGTTGAAAACATTTTAGCGCGATGAAGTATTTTAGTAATATTTTAATATTGAGAAGTTGAAAATTTACATTAATAGATATATTTATTCTCCAAATGGTTACAAAAACCTGTGGCAGAATTTGATAATAATAATAATAATAATAATAATAATAATACAATGATAATGCAATAACAACACATTAGTATTTCATATTCGCTTGTATTCCACGATCTTACATCCCATGTTCCGATCCGTGTAATATTCTTCCTCTTCCAATTCGTAGTCCTTTTTTCTTGCCAGAGTTATCGTACATGTAGGATTGATCCAATTCTTGGAGCTCTGAGCGGTATCTTTTCTTACCCTGAGCAAGCTGCTAACCTCACTCAGGAACCCTCCTCCTCCATCCGGGCTTTTGACCGGCAGTGGGTTGCTAAGCTACTCAATCCACCTAGCAGACACCACAGACGGAGTTGGGCAGAAATAAAAATATTGAAATAATACTTAGTAACTCTTTCCTATAACGCAAGAAAGTATGTGCTGTTGTAGCATCACTAGTTTGTGTTTTATTTATTTGTTTCGTCCCTTGTAGCGACTCTGATAATGGCGAAAATAATATACAACAAATTGATACATCTTTTATTCTTGTGAATTATCGATTATAAAAATATCTCAGCTGTCACCACGAAATTTATTCTATTTTACTCCACGCTCAGCTGATCACCTGACAGCATGATTTCACTGGCCTGATCAATCTCTCGGGTGACCAACCTCTAGCTCCAACCACTAATTTACAACGAAACGTAGCAATTCGGAACTTTCCGTTTGCAAACGCGCACGTGGCAACCATTTGAGGACTCACGAATATCTCTGCAAGATGTCGTCGAAGGATAGCCTCTAACACTTTCACATCTTGCCTAGTGAAAATATTATATATATATATATATATATATATATATATATATATATATATATATATATATATATATATATGCAGGGTTTGTGCATTATATGGTTCTACTCAGTAATGAAAGCATGTTGTAAAAACAGCCTGTCAATTTTTCAACAAAAATTTGCATATGGGACCAGATTTTACTCTTTTATATATTCTTGAAGATATGTTTAAGAACTTAAATTAGTAAATCAAAAACTTGAGAAAATGTGAAGATCAATATTTTTTTAAAAAGTTTTAAAGAAGAGTACTCACCCTTGTGACGTGATACGCCATAGAGCAGAATACGACGGAGCTGCAGAGAACCTGCACGCCGAAGGCCACGTTCAACAGCCCGTTCACCTCCTCCAGCAACCTGCGGGAGAGCATTGTAGTTGAAGACCCGGGGCGCCCACAAGTGGGAGCAGCTGAGTCAACTCGCTGCAGGCCCCGTAAGTCGGGCCCTGGACATCTATTTTTTCACTCAAAATAAATAAAAAATGTATTCATCTCTAATCCAAACTGAACGCTATAAGTTATTTCTGAAGCACGGAGAGATTAATTATTCTTATGAATTAGAAGAAGACGGAATGCTTTGTTGAAATGACGGGCCCCCGAGGAACAACTGCCTTAAGCCCCTGGTTTTCTCTGGCCGCCTCAGTTGATGACTATTGGCTTGCAACAGCAAAAAGATTGCTGCCACACTGGCTTTCCAAATCCGGAGCCATACTGGCTTTCCAGACCGGAAGCCACACATACTTTCCAAAAAGTGACACGCGCATTTATCAATAACAACAAATAACAATAGCCTTGTATAATAATGCAGTACACTAAATAAAATTTCACGAGTACCACAGTAACATAATTTACTGTATACGGATACACAGTTCAATAATACTTTACATATTATTATTTTTTTAAATGTTGCTAAACACTTCTAAATTTTAGAAAGTTGCGAAAGCTAAAATAATTTCAAACATGCCATCCATTTTCAATATTGGAGTCCGAGATTTCTTTCTCGATGAAATTTATACCCTAATTGCAGATCTTTAAATTATGTCTTGCAAATATGCAAATCTTTAAATTCTAAAAAAAATGTAATGTTGACTTGAGTCAGTGAAAGGATGAAAGGTTTCAGTCTGACAAGTATTTCCACTATTTATTTTTAACCCACCAAGTGTATGTATATACGTATGGGTTCCAGAACGCAATATGTCCTTAAAAAAATAAATAATTTGTTTGTGAACAAGATGACAGTCAACATGATGGGATCTATACACACTTGAGATCCGTTTTACTCCTCCCATTTAATGCATTTCTTGTTTTCAGTTTTGCAGATGTCTAACAGCGCGTGTGCTGCTCACCAAGGCGTTCGTCGTTGTGGTGAGGGCACGTCGCTATCTGCCCTGAAGAGGGCCCGCTCGGCGTTGGCGTATGCAGATCTGACAAACATACGCAACAGCTGTGCTGGAAATAAGCCGGCGGGTTCCGATCGTAAAGAATTGATTTCGGGAATTTTAGCGAACGCAAGCATGTGTATGTATATCGAAGTCCGTATCGAATGCAATAACAAGCAAAAACGTATCAGTAAAAAATAAAGTATATTTCCTTATTTAAATTGTTATTGAACAATATGGAATTTGATTTAAAGGTTGAATCGCCATTAAAGTCGTACACGCGCCATTAAAGTCTACATGCTCTGTACATGAGTGTATGTGAGGGGGGGGGTCTCAACCGAGCACCAACTGATGGTCAAACATGCAATGACGCGTCCACCCACACTGTCCGACATCCTCGAATTACACCTGCGTGATGTGTACGTGGTTGCAAAGAAGATAAAATCTATTATTCAGAAGTCGATCGAGAATTCAACGAGAATACACCTATTTATATCGTCTAAAATGTCTCAAGCTCTTATGAAAAATATTATATTATTCACGACCAATATTTAGCAACTTTTATTGTACAATGTTCTTGTAGATTTTAAAATATTTAAATATATTTCGATATTTGAATTCTTATTTAACAATGTGGAAGCTGATATACAGGTTGAACCCACACGCGCCTTTACAGCCTTCAGACACCCCCCTGTAAGACTGTACAGTTGTTCTTCGTGCTAAAAGTTCTTATAGGTAATTAGGTAATTATATATATATATATATATATATATATATATATGTATATATATATATGTGTGTGTGTGTGTGTGTGTGTGTGTGTGTGTGTGTGTGTGTGTGTGTGTGTGTGCGCGCGTGTGTGTGTAGGTGTGGAGGGGGCCCCACGAGGTCTCACCCGAGCGCCACCTGGTGGTCGCTCACGCACTGGCGCAGGCGCCGCGCCCACTGCCCGTCGCCCGAGTCCCTGCCCTTGGCCGCACCGTCACGTGGGCGCAGCTGGTCCAGCGCCACGGCCACCCCGCGCAGGCGCAGCGCCACGTGCGCCATCAGCGCCGCCAACGTGCAGTCGGTGGTCGGGATCAACAGAGTGAACAGCAGCATCTGCGACACCTTCACACACACACACGAACGCACGGTTGAGGGTCAATTGGAGCCATAACAGCAGTGGTTGGAGACGAATAGTTGCTGGGATGGATAAGCCCTTCACACAGCATACAGTCACACACGTAGAATCACTGTATCATTTGTAAATAATTGTTTATAGTAGTTTTAAGTCTTATGTTAAGTTCTTACAAAAAGAAGTCATTGTATATTTATGTATCCTAAGGGATACATCTCTGTAATAATAATTATAAATGTCTTTCTCGACTTTCTGTTTGCATGGAAAGTTTTTGTACAACACCAGTTTTCAAAAGCGAATTTGGTAAGACGTTGATCAGACTAGCATAGGGGCTAGCGTCTGGCTACCAGCCTTCCTACCACGGCTAGGCCAATGCTTTCGGCCATGAACACTTTGACTTAAACAATAAACACACACACACACAGTGCATTGATGCACAAGTAAATGCCCCCTGCAAAAATGTCCACTCGTGGAGATGTCCATAAGTATGCCTGTCCACCTTCAATTCTGTTTCGAACAAGTCATTTACTTCATTGCAGAAATGTCTATCACCTAAATGTCCAGTAGCATACAATGTCCACTGCAATCAATGCTAAGAGGAATGTTACGGATAATGAAGTTTGATTGACCCAAACCTACAACAACAACACCCCTCATTATGGTGGGTGGTTCGCGTCAGCGACTCAGTCGATGAGCTTCTGATAGCGACGTTTCATCAAGTGTTAGATGTTTCTTCATTTTTTCGGGCTGTTAATGCAAACACCAATGAAAGTGATCTTCCATAATACCATCCCGTGAAATATAACGAGATGTTTGAGCTGGGGCGGGGCAGTTTTAGAAACCATCCGTGTAAATATATGGTGATGCTGTGGTGTTTACCGTGGACATTGTGTTTACTGTACATTATAGTGTGGAAATTTGTCTGTGTACTTTGTGTTAATAGGACGTTGTCTTGTGGACCGGTTCAGCTGCAACCGCCCAGGAGCAGGCCCACTGCATTAAAACCGTGTTAGGGAGCCAGTCCCGACGGTGGCCAACCCGCGCTATATTCAGAGCTAGGCAGACTTCAGCCGCTCGCTGACTGGAGTCGCCTATGCTCTGAACGGTACTTTGGCCTCGTTTCTCCGATCATTTTGGTTTAGGCTAGTGCCGGAGTTGCAAGCTAACACCCGGGGCGTACCCCGCGATCATTTCTCTCTCTCTCCCCCCTCTCTCGCACTCTCCTTCTCTCTCTCTCTCTCTCTCTCCTCTCTCCCTCCCTCCTTTCCCCCTTCCCTCTCTCGCTCTCTTCCTCTCTCGCTCTCTTCCTCTCTCGCTCTCTTCCTCTCTCGCTCTCTTCCTCTCTCGCTCTCTCCCTCTCCCGTTCTCCCCCTCTCTCGCTCTCCCCCTCTCTTCCTCTCTCTCTATCTATCTATCTATCTCATGTATGAGCGGTGAAAGCAAGCACTGATTGGCGACATGAATTAGCGAATACAGGAAATCGATACAATAGCCCAACCTGGTATTCGCGTGGCCAGAGCCATTTCAGTCACTTTGATTCCTGTAGTTCCTGCGAAAGTATGGTCTTGAGCGACCGTTTTGTGAGTGAAGGGGTAGTGAAACAGGGCTGACCTGCGAGGCTACGTTGAAGTAGTAGCCGAGCGCGCGCGTGTCGTCCACGGGCAAGGAGAGCGGCAAGGGCGCCGGCGGACGACCCGTCCGGGGGTCGAGCGGCCCCAACCACGGCAGCGCAGTGAAGGACATCACCGCCAGCAGGTACCTGCGCTCCCACACAAAACGCGCTGTATCTAGCCTTTATTAACTTGACTAGTACATTTCTGGCCCTTTATCTCAGAAACTACTTTCCCTATAACTTTGAGATGTCTACAGTATATTCTATATTGTACCGTACTATTATTTTTTTGACAGAATTTTAAAAAAGAAATTGAAAATAATTTTAAAAATTAGACATATATTAATCTATAATTCAAACACTTGCAATGTATCTCATTGTTTTGGTTAAGTAGCTCAGTCATATAAATCTACCCTGAAAATGTCATCTTTTTACCATAAATAGTTTCTGAGAAAATGGATCATATCGTCATTTTTGTACACTCTTTACTTTCCTAGAAAGCCGTACTTCTAACGCAGAAAACAGAAGTATACAAGAACACTGAAAACAGAAGTAAATTCTTGTGTAGAAAACTACAAGAATAAAGAAGTTACAAATGTGACAGACGTTACAATATCTGACTAATGACAAGAACAGAACCTCTTCTAAGAATCAACAGAAGTCACATTTGTCTAGATAATTAGATTGACCCAATTCGCTTACAAACTAGTGGTGCGACACAGACTTTCCCGTACTAGTTTTCTATTTCCTTTGGTCACGAGACTATTAAAAAATTACATTTTTGGAATTTTAGAAAACACAGAACAATAGAGCAAACTGATGTTTATACCATGTCAAAGAGCACATGAACCAAAATCCTTACCAAAAGTTAAAAAAAATTGGAGTAATTTTTGAGAAAATCTTGTTTTTGTTATTTTTTAAAATTGCAGGCACCTTTTGAATCTCTGCGACACCTTTTGAATTGGCGGGCACTCAGCGTGACAGCTCGCGTCTCAGGACTCGCCGCTTCGGGGTGTCCTGTGCACTGTGCAAGCTCTAAACTGGAGGCGAAGGGCGAGACGCCGGCGAAACGTCGCCACTACCGTAAAAGGTCGCGGTCGCGGCAAGGGCTGGCAAAGCAGTCGAGCCGAGTCTCGAGTCCAGATCCAGAGAGGAGAGTCTGCAGGCGTCAGCGGAGCGAGCGCCACGGAGCCCATCCACGACGGGACGACCTAATGCCGGGCTGAGGGGAGCTGCATCCTGACCAGGGCCTTGCAACTCTCTATCAAAACAGCGGACAAAGCTCGAGGGTGCTACTCTAGGAGGCGCTACTGTCGCCAGATACAGCTGCAGGTTAGGCTCGTCAACTTCCGCTCATAAAAATTGGCTAATTTGTGAGGAATAGGAAAAGTGTCTTTTAAATGTTCAATTATTTATAATATACACATATAAGGAACCCCTGAAGAAAGTTCGAACATCGGTGCTAGCTTTTGTAAGATAATGGGCCTGCTTGCGACCCGCGAACTCATGCAGCAGCCACGCACGTTTTTAGTATCGTTGGCAGCAGTTATTGTTTTTTAGTTCCTCTAAGAAGGTGATGCAGCAGAGTGCGCCACCGTGATGGCTTCCACCACGTTATAGGCCCTGATCCAGATCGTGCGATGTGCGTACGTGTGCTGGTCGATTGGGGGTCTTCGTCCTGGCAAGCTAGCGTCTCGCACCAGGACGGCCCGGGCCGCTAGCTTCGCAGACAGCGCGCAGGGTCACCAATAGTGTTGAACTATACATACAATATGCTCCAATAATGGAGGTGTATCTCAAACAGTTTAACGCTTTTTCTATCCGATTTTTCTTACCATTTCTATCTAAGGGCCAATCATAAACTGCGACTCATCTATCTTAGGAGGCGCTATACAACGATCGCTGTGTTGATATGCAATAAACCTCGTATGTGCTGTAACATTACCTCTTTGATATTAACATGTTTTCAGTTATTTTCAATACTTGGTGCATTTTGAAGCTCCGTTGAACGTAGTTTCATTCGTGGAATAATCCTATAAATAGTACTCGTGCTTTGTAAATTCTCAGCAACATCGATTTATCGACAATTCCCAACGCGCAATGAAAAAGTGTCGTTGGTACTCACGAGGCGATGAAGGCGAGGGTGCCGCGGCGCACGTTGCGCTCCAGGCGCGCGTTCTCGCCGGGCGGCGCGGGGGCGCGGGCGAGGGCGCGGCGCAGCGCGCGCAGGCGCCGCCGCCCCGACGCCAGCGCCGCGTAGCGCGCGATCGCGCTCAGCCCCTGCAGCCCGATGCCCATGCCCTCCGTCACGGCCTCCACGTCGCCCTGCGACACACACACACTAGTGGTGGAGAGAGGCTGTTATGAGAAGGGTCCGGCGGCACATGTATTTCTTGGCGCGACAGCCCGCGTACGGGCTACGGCCTACCGGCGACCTCGCGGCCGTGGGTTAAAATTGATTGATTGTTAGTGATTCCGGGCACGTCAACGTCCCGGATCATTATTCCCGTAAGTTTAGTGCATATTTTTGTTCTGAATTGGCGGTGATCTTCCCCCGAAGGATGGCCAGATTCGGCGCCGACCTACCAGCGGCAAGCGGGATTTCCCTAACCAGGTATCTCCTACCAGCAGGGCAAGGCTGTCATGCAAAGGGAGCACGCTTACCAATAAGCTAAATCGCGAGACTGATTGACCACTGCTGGCAATATATCTGCAAGCCACGTTCACGCACTCATTTTATCTGTGCTTTAATTTACAATTAGCTAATTTGTAAATGGTATCATCTCTATATTTGCAATGGCATCGCCCTGCATGACGTTCATTGTTTCTCAATCTGTCAAAGTACCCTTCTTAGAGTAACTCTTCAAAATAACGGTTAGCGTTTCGGGCTGATATATCAAAGTTTACGGGTTAAAACCCAGCCGAAGCCATGTTTTTTTGTGGTGCGAAAAAATCATTCGTTCGCCCGCCTTTGGAGGGGAAGTAACCACTCTCCCGTGCTATAGGTTTACTGCATATGAAAGATCCTCAAGCCTACGGAGCCTGGGAATGTCTTTGCCACCGTCCTCGCCCCTTGACAACCTTAAACGACTGACAAAATATGCATAAGATATCACCCATTTCTTCGAAACCAAATTGGAAAATTACTAGATAAAACAGTAGCAGAAACTCTAAACAAAACAATCCATCAAATCCTTTTCAAACAAATATCAAATCACTATCCAACAATCCGATACTCTACTCTTCCCATCCTCGACAAAATAACATATCTATCGCTTTCTCTCAGTGCTTTTAAACTTCCTTCTTTCCTTCCTTCCTTCCTTCAACAAAATAACCCACTGTAACCTTTAACTACCCTTGTTATTTCTCAATCTATAGCTCCACTCGGGGAAACAAAAAACATTATTATTATTAATATTATATAATAATAATAATAATAATAATAACAAGAAGAAGAAGAAGAAGAAGAAGAAGAAGAAGAAGAAAAAGAGAAAGAAGAAGTCCTTCATAGAGGAAGCAAAGACAGAAGGGACGAGGGCCAGGCTGTCAAATGAAATTACAACAGACACTGTTCACGCCCTGTGCTGCCTAGCCTGACCCCAATACTACTCGTACCCACCCTACTGCCAGATTTTGCGTGATGTCGACATTTCAAAACAAAAAAAAGTTTTACCAATACTTTATTGCTTGTTAGTGCCTTCGATTCGGAGCTCAATGCACATTGCATAACTTACCTCGGTCGCGAGTATTGTGGTTACAAGGGATATATGACAACATTAGATTGATGCAACATGTTCTCTTATGGAGGGAATTACCAGAGAGGAATTATGAGAGGGAAATGTAAAAAGACAATATGAGTTAACATCTAGTTAGTAAATATTATTTAATCCGAACACCTTAGTATTTGGGTCATTAAAATTAGATAAAATTAATTGTGGGTACCACTAATTGTAATGATCTCGGGCGACAAAATTAAGTCTCGTTGCCCAGGGAGAAGTGGCTCAATGCATCTACTGATGTGTCTCTGACGGAGAAGTCCTAAGTCCGAGTTCCGATAATGGCATGATTTTCGACCTTAGCTTGTCAGCTAGGTCGAATTCAGTCGCTGTCTGCAGGAGAATTTTGAAAGCCGGCTGTTCTGATCAATGGTTTTCCGTGGTTTCTCCGATCAACACCAGGCGAATGCCGAAGCAGTACCATAACAAACGAGCCACGGGCCGCGCGTGATCTCTCCTTCCTCGTACGTGTCCTATCCTTACCCCTCACTTACACACTCGCTAACATGCGCTACACTACCACACATGCCGAGAGACCGGTCGGGAGTTTAAGAGCTTGTCCGGGCTGGGGTGGTGCTGGCCGCTATTCTGCATGACAAGCGAGATGTATTCAAAAACCTTTTTTAAAGTGGCATAAGTTGACAATTTTTTGATGTCCAAGCAAAAATTAGAGGATGGTGTTCAAATAAAAAAAACACCATATTTGAAAAAGTGCTTCGAATATCTGTTTCAATGAATCGTAATAATGTGATAATTTTGGTACCTGACTGTAATTAAAATTGCCGCTTATTTTGTGATGCCAACTGATGCCCGAAACTCGTCAGCTGAAGAGGGACGTCTCACGTATCACGCGGTTCGCAAGGAGACGCGGAGTGGGTGGGAGCGCTGTGGAGGCGTGCGGAGGGCGCACCTGGGCGTGCATGGTGTGGTGGATCCAGGCGAAGGTCTCGACGGCGAGCATGGCACAGACGAACGCAAAGCGCAGGCGCACGCCGCGCCCGCCCGCGCCCCTGCCCTCGCCCTCGCCTTCACCCTCGCCCTCCGCGCCTCCTGACACGGCCACGCCCAGCAGGTCCAGCAGCCGCGCCGGGAACGCCAGAGGCGCCTCCTCCTCCGCCTCCGCCATTCACCTGCGCACGCGCCGTTGCCTCAGTCTCGCTGCGCTGCGAATACCCGCAAACGCCTGCGAAAAGCGGCCACGCAAGTGACACAAAGTAAAAAAAAAAAGAAAGAAAGAAAAGAAATTGGACGCTCTAACCACACACTTGGAAATAAACACTTCATGGCGGCTCCACGTACACCCTTGTCAGTTTTAATGCGGACAAGCCAAGACTAGTTTTAATGTGAACAAGATATCTAAGACTATCTTCTGTTTCGTCAAATGATTATAAATTATGTAATCGCAAGCGCCCGCCCGCGCCCCCATCCTCGCCCTCGCCCTCGCCCCCTCGCCCGCCCGCGCCCTCGCCCTCTCTACTCGGTAGTTTTCCGAGGTGTGTCTTTTGATTACTACTAATGCCGAAGCAGTATTCTAAAAAACGGGCCTTGGGCCGCGGGCGAAGTTATGTAGATGTAGTAGTGGTCGCTAACACTCGCAATGATGAAGCCGAAATGGCCCAAAGGTACCGCTCTCCCCTCATTTCTTCCTCATCCTTGACCCCTGCTTCTCCCCGTACACACACGCTACATAAACGATAGTGCTATATATGTCGGGAGACCAGAAGGGAGCTTAGAGCTTGTCCCGGCAGGAGCGGAGCAAGCTGTGGGGTGGTAGGATTAAAGTGGTTTCAAATGTTGCTTTTATCCTACGAAAGACATATTGCTAACTTATAGTTGTAGAAAAACATACAGGCTATTTCAAACTTTTACACTGGTCAGAAACTTATGATTTCATGAAAATGAAAAAGCCAAAAAAAACAAAAAAACATGTCATTGTAATGTAAAAATATTAACTATTAAATATTTATTTTTGTAATATAATGTAACTGATATTTTTCTTAATTTAATTAAAACCTGCATTTCAACTTTCTCTTACCCGTACGTATATATGTAGTATAGAGAAAAAGTTATGTCATGCTGGCAGAAAACGGCAATTTTTCGGCAGAAAAACTCATATTATAGGGCCCTGATGGAAAAATTGGAAAAATCCTGTTCTAAAATCTACTAAATTGCTCCCTCTCACACGCTGTGTAAGCGGATTTCAGAAGTTGTGAGTCCTTGAAACAGAAAAAAGAGTTTTTTTTTCCTTGCGTTCGTACGTCATTCGTCTGTGAACAACATTAGCACCTAAACTAGGAGTTTTGCAAACTAAATATCTGTTGTCTGAGTATCTGTTGTCGACCTGTTCTCACTCAAAGCTCTGTCATTTTGAAAAACATTCTTTAAAATTTGGGGGTACTTTACATGAAACCCCAGGGACAATATCAAAATGTTTTCGGCTAAAAAAGTCTTCAAATTTCTTGTAAGAATAGAGTAGTATACACTTATAAAGATGACATAGGTCCTATTTTCAGGGTTAACAATGAATTTTCAAAAATTGCGAAAGATTGAATTTTTTTCGTCTTACAAACATAAAATTAAAGTTAAAGATTTTTCTTTCGAATGAACCTTGTTGTCCATAATTAGTTCTTTCATAAAACTCATGTACATGTTTTGTAAATTCAGTATTTCCGTGCAGTATTGAGTAAAATATGAGTAATGTTAATAAATATCAAAAATACGAATTTCACGAAAACGCCTTCACATTGTGTCTTTAAACTTTTGGCAGGGATAGTGCTAAAATGATATGAACGTTATTTTGCACTATTCTTTTATTTTCAAAAATGTATATTGTACTTGTCTCTCACGTCGTTGAGGTTTACATTCGCGACAATATGTTCATATTATTGAATTTATGAGTAATTGTGCTTCAAATGATGTCTATTAAATTTTCACGAAAACGCAAAATTGTTCTGGAAAAGTAGCTCGAATTCTCGTAATTTCAGAAACGCTGAATCGTCATTTTCTGAAAAAAAATATCCATAACGTTTTCTTTAACATTTTTGTGCGTGTAGAGCTAAATACACTGCTTAAGATGCCATAAACGTCATTTTAGTGTATTCTATTGTTTTAAAAAAATACATAAATCTAATTTTGTTTACATATATCTCACGCTGTTAATTTGCACATTTCCAGCGATTTGCATACATTACTGTATTTATGAGTGGAAGTGCTTCAAATGTCTTTTAATGAAGATTTTCGAATACGGAAAGTTTTTTCTGTGAAAAATAACTTCACATTTCGCATTTACACTAACACTTAAACGCTATATTCTTGATAACGGCTCCACATTTTTATCAAAAATTTCCATAGAAGACGAGTTTTTACTCTTCTATAACTTTCTTTACATCTATAACTTCTTTTACTCTAATATCTTAAAGTAATGTTTCAGTTCTACTATTCTGTAGCATCACTAGTTTCCATTATGTGATTTTGGCTTTCTTCCCTTACCTGCTCAGTCTATGTGCGCGAAGTTCCTGCGGCCAATCTTCCGACCAGACAGCCGATGGTGATTCACCTTGTTGGCTGTACGTGCTCCGAAAAGGCCTAATTGATAAGCACTGTCTGGCTTAACAGCTGCTGCGCGGACAAACGTTCCCCGTGGGAATCACGACTGATGCTCTGCGGTCCGTGTTTTCCTTGTATTCCATGAAACTAGGTGCTCGCCCCCAATCGTAACAGAAACAAAGAACCAATTTGGGCGAATATTGGCTATGGAAGCTTTCATGTGTAGAACGAAGGAATCAATTTAACTAATACATTCGAAAGTTTTGCATCAAGGATATTAAAGTATAGTGAATTAGAATTTGTAGATTTTTTACTATTTGTATAGTAATGCATTTAATCATTCTAAAAATTAAAATTAATAAATAATAATACAATCTGTTTAAATTTCACTATCTATATAAACTAAATCATCTTCTATTTTCATAATTCAGAAATATTTATAAGACTGCAAACAAAATATGCATCCTTCATCATCATCATCATCATCATCATCATCTTCTTCTTCTTCTTCATTATTATTATTATTATTATTATTTTGCGTTGTTTCGGTATATTTTTGTTAAAAATTAGTAACAATTTTAGCGATGGAGCATTAGACTAAATACCTAGTGCACAAACAAGCCCGAATCAAAGGAAAAATTCCGAATTTTTTCTCACTTATTCTGTTTTTTGGGGGGTGCTGTATTCTAATTTCCTTTATTTTCATTTCATGTCTAAAATTTCATCTTTAGTTTTGTTGTTTCTTTTACATTATAATTTGGGAAATGACAGAACATGTTATTGGTGAAAATATATCAAGTTGTTCCATTGAACAGAACCTATTGTCTTTTCTATTTTCTCTCGTTTGCGTCCTATTTTAGTTATCTCTGTCTTTTTGTATTATTTCTGAGTCGGATCTAGCTCAGTGAGATCTTGTGCAAAATTGTAGCCAAGTACTAAACATGCTCGTCTGACAACTCGAATGTTTCGAGTGTAATTCTGTCGTTCCAACAAAGAGAAGAGCGTCGGTGATGTGCGACGACCGCGCTCGTACGAATCACACACGATGAACACCCGAAGCGTGAGATGAACGCGACACACATCACCTGCCAGCGCACACCAGGCAATGGCACGAGTTAACCTGAATCGAGCCCCAGCATGCCCACGCGGTCGGCGGGCAGTGGGCAGAGCACAGGTACATCCCCGCTCATTTTAAGTGTATAATCTGCCATACCCAGAGGCAGCGACCGTAACAATGATTAGGTATTGTGATCTTAAACATTCGTACTGTCACTACTGCGCAGACTCCTAGTGTAGCACGAGCATATGTAGGACGTTATGAATATAAAATTCTTTGAGTGATTATTAAACTAGTGGCGCTACTGAAGCACATACTTTCTCGCAATTTTTAAACTACTCCGCTATATTATACCACTACAACAACCTGCAAAATGTTTTCAACAAGCACACACTTTTTTCAGCACCGAGACTCGAAAACAAGCCCTCCGAGATAACTCGCCTTGAGCTTTACCTCTATGCTATTGAAACGCAGTGAGTTTCGAACAAACTTGTTGTTTTGAAATGTAAACTGTTTCAAAATTTTGTAATTTTCCGAAATGCAGAGAGTTCGCTGAAAATGAGACTAACATCATTTTTTTTACGAGGATAAAATTAAATGAAAAAAATTGGAGCGGTTTTTGAGATAATTCTTTTTAGAAATAACATAAATTATAGATACAAATTACGCGAAATCTGTTCGTCTTTCAAAAAAATGGAAGATTACATTGTTTGAAGAACTGATTTTTAGAACACACTTCATTTTAGGCAAAATCTCTATCTTCAATTTTGTAGTTTTGAAATGTTAACTTTTCGCAATTTTCGAAAATTCAGAAAGTTTGCCGAAAATGGGACTAGCATTTTAATTTTACTGTTTCTTGCCACATAAGCGGAGAAAATTACTCGTTTTTTTTAAAAAAAATTGCACGTGACCTTTTTTATAAAGCTGTCTTAAAACAGATTTTGTTTAAAACAAAAAAATGTTATCTTTAAGAAACAATTTGGAGTTATTTTGGAAAAAAAGGTAAACAATCTTAAAATTCTCTATTTTTCGCACAAAATTACGCAAAAATTACTCATATTCTCGAAAAATTCAACAAGACCTTATTTCCAGATGTGACTTAAAGAACAGATTCAATAAGGGGAAAATAATCTTTAATATTGTATTGTTAATAAAAATGTGCCGGTTTTTTGAGGACAAATTTGTTTAAACAAAATTAAAAATTGTTTATATTTCATCCAAAAATACGCGAAAAGTGCTCCTATTTTCGAAAAATGGTACATGACCTTATTTCAAACTCTGTCTTTAAGGAACATATTTGATTAAGGGAAAAAATCTCTTTCCCTAATGGTTTAGTTGTAGAAAGACGATAAAAAGTTTGAACTTTTGCAATTTTCTAAAAATTAGGATTTTCAACGAACATGAGACCTATACCATTTTCTTGAACGTCCTTTTGAATATCCAACAACACATTTTAATCAAAAACGTTGGAGCCATTATTTTTTTAAATTTTGGAAATCTCTCACGGGTTTCATGTAAAGTAC